TGTTTGTTCTCTCTCCACCCTCTCTCTCTCTCTCTCTGTGTGTGTGTGTGTGTGTTAATTTCACAAGTAGAGGAAGTATGTTAATGAGTAGGACTAATTATCTTCCAGGAACCCTATGTAACAGAGATAAAGAAGTAAAAGAATAAACAAGACAGCTGCTGACAGTGAAATGATTGTGAAGAGACACAGTATCCTGAAATGAGAAGCACCAGCAAAGTTAATGTGGATGAGGAGGCTGAGACTCAGAGAAAATATTCTAGGTGAAATTTCAGGATTACATTTTTTGCTGTCTGAAGAAATAGCAATGTATATTCTTCATAATACTCATGATTTCAAGGGTATGCTGGGGAGGATAAGTTTGGCTTGTTGAAAGGGAGTGAAGTCAGTGGACCAAAGTACAATCTGTGAAGTACCAAGTGGCACATAATGCTTTGGGAAATAGAAACAACAACATGTGGAGTATGAAGAATTCGGAAAGAAGCTGGGAGAAAACTATTTCTCATTTATGATCCTTGCTGATTTTACAAGTAGAGATGGCAAGAATACACTTGTTATACTATTCTGGAACTGTAAGAGAATCCTAGACTGCCATAAATATTTGAATCCAGAAACTTGTATCCTCCTGAAGACAATGGAAAGACATCATTGATGTTTATACACTAAAATGTAACTGTGGGAAAGGTCACATCTCCCCCCCCCCAGTGGGCAATATGACAGTTCTAAACAGTACCCACAATGTAGTGAGACAAAGTTCACTAAACATATTGGAAAGTAAGTCTAATTCATTTAAATCTCTTTCATCTTATTTTTATATCATCACAATTAATATGGAGTTTACATTGACTGTGGTTGTTCTTCTTAGTATTATGTGATGGTATCAAATATAAAATATTTTAAGAACCCAGTTTCAAGAGTCAGGTATAAAATCTAAAGAAATTATTAGCAAAATGACATTAGAAATTGCATGATATCCTCTGATCTTCCTCAATAAATCACCACAGGATTATTGTTGATCTCATGAGCTTGTTGAGGATATAATAAATTGAAAGTGCTGCATAATATTGAAGAGTAGTAGGTTATATGCAACCTCAATCAATATAAAACACAGAATATTTCATTAAAAACATTTCTGGCATAGTAGATAATGTTTAAGAGCAACCTTGAGCTTGAGGTAAGAGTCTTCTTGGCTTCAATTCTCTGATCAGTTCAAACTTGTTTATGTCTAGACACTAAGCTGTCTTCCTTGCTTCATCCATATGCAACTGGAACCAAACAGATTTCAGAGTGATGCTGGGGGACCTGATACAGTAAAGCACAAGGACCAGCACTGAGTGTCACCTGTGGCCCCTGGAACCAGTGTCTTGATACTGCAAACAGAATTAAAGCTGAAGTAGACCTCTGACTTCCTTTCTGGCTTTATTACTTTTGGTAATTAAATTTCCCTTTGTGGCCCCTGTTTTGTCACAAATATAGTCACAAATAACTTCATAGTAAACCTTGAAGTTCTTACTGTACAACACTAAAGATACTTCCAGTAATTATGAGATTGAGAAAATTCATCTCTTGCTTAAAATTGAGATTCAAAACTAATTATATGATTGGAGATTAATTTAAGGATAATCTGTGGTGTCAGGAAAACATGTGGAAACAATCTTGGATTATCAACTATTTTTGTTATTATTTCACTAAGTCTGACTACTCATTATCTCTTGATACAAATCTTGATTTTCTTTACAATTCATGAATAGAGCTTAATAGAGGCTACCAAGCCCATTGCACTCATCATATTCTGTTGTAGTCTTCTCTTTTGTATTTATACTTTTCTCCTCTGAGAAATTTTAGAAAATGATGATTTGTGAAAAATGCATCTTAAGCAGCTGGGTATGCTTTTTTGTTGATATTTGATGATTATAATGCCAAATGGACTGGAATACTGATGAGAATGATGATTATAATCCAGGTTATCATTATAGAATGAGTCAGGTGGGAGAAAGAAATAAAGGAAAAAAATTATACTTAACATTTTATTTATATTGAGAAAATAAGAATAAAAAGTACCTTTATGAAAAGACTGAATGGTATTATAACAATTACCTCTCTTCTTCCAATACTTTAATATGCTTATGACTTTATTTATATTACATGTTCAGGAAATGTAAGTTTAACATATTTTTGGACAGGTCTGCATAGACCGAGAGTATGTTTCCCAATGATTGTTCAGAGATAGGGTTACAATATGTCTCCAGCTAGTTGTACAGAAAAGAACAAAATAAGGGCAGAAAATAATATCTAATTGGATTCCACATTTCACAAATCTACCATTCTACGAAGCAAACAGAAACAAACATAAATGGGGGAGGATATTATTTGAGGCTCAGCTTCTCTTTTTCAAATATTTAACCCCAATTAACTCGCTTGATTCTTGGAGCGATTCTCCAAATGTATTGTTATTTGCATTTTTCAAATCTGTAGATAAAAAATGACAGATGCTTCTGGTTTTATTGAGCTTACAACTCAACCAGAGGAGAGAACACATGAACAATTCTGCATCCTACAGTATGTCAGAATGTAATGAATACTACCAGAAAGAAAAAAAAAAGGAGGTCTAAAGTGGTCAGAAATCTTTAGAAAGGGAAATGAACAGATTGAATTTTAAATAACATTTACTGAATTTCCATAAGAAGTTTAGTCTGATGAGGTAAATTTAGTAATCTACATGGTATTTTGAAACATGTAGATGAATAAGTAGAGCAGGAATGGGAAAAAGAAAAACCTAGAAATGTAAGTCAACACTTGACAGATGACAAAAAATACACTACTTCGTGACATGCTTTTAGACGCTTCTTCTTTCACAATATGACACTCAACAATAAAATTACTGTAAGTTGATAACATTCATAGAAAAATATTCAAAATTGTTAATGTGACTTTGCTCCTGCTTAATAGAGGCCCATTTAGACCATTAACTCTGTTCACTAAGCATTGAGCAAAAAGAATCCCCACAAATCCATCATTACTCCCAGACACATTTTAATAAATAACTCATTCACCTTAATAATTGTTAGATTTTGGAGTGCAGAATAAAGGGACAAAAGGCAGGAAAGAGACCAAAATCTGACCCCAACAGATCAGACTGCATTTATGAGCACAGTAGCAAAGGGGCATCAGCTTTCAGCACAAGAAAGGAAGTGTGAAGGGGAGGTAACTGCTGTGGGCTCTTACAGGTGATTGGGCGTAAAAAATAAGTTGATAAAGCTGTGTAGGATACATGTGGAGGGCAAGACAGTCTTGAGAAATTTGTGATTTCCTTTTCTTTTTTGGTATGGGGAGGGCCTGCTTGCTTAGGCAAAGCAGTGTATCTTGAGGACTGAGGACTACCTGTCTCCCTGTCTCAACAGTTTTTTCCTGAGATACGCATGTGACTGACCCATAACAGTTGAGGAATGGCAGTAAGGCCAACTAAGCGGCAGGACCTGTGGTTTTCTGCAGCTGGCTTATACTATCTATAACACTGTGTGTGTGTGTGTGTGTGTGTGTGTGTGTGTGTGTGTGAGAGAGAGAGAGAGAGAGAGAGAGAGAGAGAGAGAGGTTGTGTATGTGCACATATATCAGAGTCAATGATAGGAAAACTGAACAAGTTGTGGAGAATTTTGAGCACGGATGCTCATATGTAAGAGCTAAGTCCAATTCATTACTTCTGACACTCTGCTATAGGAATAACAGCTTTTACTCCATTTCCAACTCATGTGGTTACATGAACACAAAGTTCTTATTCCTCATATGGCCTATCCTCCAAATGTCACATGATATAAAATCAGTCTGTATGATGCTTGGCCACATTTTGATACAATTTAAGATGTGCTGTTTCATTTACTGCAGCATTTACACAGGGCCACCCTGACTTAGCAAAGTAAATAATGATCACTGCTCTTGAGAAGCAGAGTGCTTTGTGAGGCCGAAGGAAGATGACTGTATGGAGGGAGTGTTCCTATCTCCACATGTACTGTGGGCCAACACATGTAGTAGTGGACTTAGCTGGACTTCCCCACACACAATGCTAGGCTATGCTCACTTGTGTTCAAATCAATAAGGTTTTTCTTAAGAATTACTAACAAGTGGGCATGGTGGCACAGGTTTTGAAGCCAGCCTGAGCCATATAGGGATTTGATGTCAGCCTGAGCCACATAGGGATTTGATGTCAGCCTGAGCCACATAGGGAGACTCTTGTTTTCACACACACACACACACACACACACACACACACCCTTCCCCCCAAAAAAACAAACCATATCTTTTCTCCAAGAGCCTACATCCCACACACAAAGCGGCCTCTTGTCTGTGGAAATGAAAGCTAGAGTAGTTTAGTACCAAAAGGTAGACCCTAATTGGCACAGTCATGCAAAAATCACTGTGCATTTCTGATAAATCCACTCTAAGAGCTGTAACCCCCAAGTAAATCCCGTAGCCACCTGAGCTTCAATTTTACCCTTTATAAAACTGGGAAGGATGAGCAATTGTCCAGGCACACTGAGGGCTCGCTGAGACAATGTGAGCCCAGAAGGGACCCTGTTATACACAATGTTAACTATGTAACCCGTGTTAAGGGCAGTGTTCCTTGAGTGCTATACTGATTCTTTAAACTAGATGAAGTCTGCATAGAAAGGTCAGGCTTCAGATATTAGAAATGTTCTGACACTTAGAAGCCAGCACAACAAGCAGAGGATGAAAACACTAGAATCTAGTCCAGTTTGGATCAGGAAGGCCAATTGCTGTCCTACCTAAGTAGCTAGTTTCACAAGCCAACCCTTGAGCCCTGTCACCCTGTTTTACCTCTTTTTCTCCCCTGGGGCCCCTGTGGTTCCATAAAAGGGGACAAGTCCGACAGGCTCCCTGCTAAGGTGCCCGGATAAGGGCCTCGACATCCTTCCCCGCCACCCACCCCTTGGTGCGGAGTCTGTTCCCTCGTGGCAGCGACCCGCTCCACCGCCCGCGGTCCCCGCAGATGTCCGCGGCGCGCCACGGCGCACGCTCGGGGGCGGAGCAGGCGCGTCAGGCTCGGCGGCAGCGGCGCGGGCGGCGGCGGGGACTCGCGGGACGCAGCTGCCTCTGCGCCCGCGACCAGCGCCGCCGTCACTTCGGCGGAGGGCTGCGGGGCGCCTACGGTAAGGCCTGGAGGCGAGGTCCCGGTGCCGCGGGCTCCCGATTTGCGCACTGCGGAGGGGTCGAGTGGGGCCCCGGGGCGGGCTCGAAAAAGATACGGACGCAGTCTGATGTTGGGGGGGGGGGACCAGGCGAGGGCCCACGATGGGGACACGCGGCGGCCAGGGCCCCGGGGAACTGCGGGGAGGCATCACCTGGCCCTGCATCGGCCACTCTGAAAAGCCACCGAGGGTTGGGGACAGGGGCTCGGGGAGCCTGGCTGTGGCGGCCAGCACTGCTACCAGAGGGCAGGGGGCTGTGAGCCAAGGGGACAGCTCTTCTGCGGTACTGGGACTCTTCCTTGGGGGTCCTGGTGAATGCTGGTGAAGAACCTAGTAACATGCCCTTTGGGCCTGACATGGAATGTAGAGGATACATAAGGGATAAATCTGGGGGAAGGGTTAAACACCAAAAAAAAAAAAAAAAAAAAAAAAAAAAAAAAAAGGTGGGGGGGCATTGTCAGTGCAGGTAGAGAGGGATAGGAATTGGGTGTTTGGGTCTCAGGTTGCAGAAAAAAATTTATGGTCTGAAAATGAAGCACACAGAAGTGGTTTTTAACTATTCTGCTGTCAGTAAATGCTTGATGGTTTGGAAGAATATTCTCTTCCGCCCATAGGCAGAGATATTAAAATCTAGTGGGGGAAGATTGTTTGAAGAGTATGAGCACACTTCCAGGTTTGTTTCATTACTAACACCCAGAATAATCTTTTTGATGAAGAGTGCTACACGAGTTCTTACATGAATGGGAAAACTAACAAGTCAACTTATATTAATGCATGGAATTTTGAGGGTAAAATGCAACATGCAGATTTAATAGTACAAGTAAAAGCAATGGACTTAGAATGTGAAACTCTTTATACTAATCTTCCTTTAGCTCTGTCAGTTGTTTAATACTTTGAATTAAATACTGTGGTTGCTTTTGAAAAGAAACATGCATTCGAAAGTCCACACAATGTACATTTTTTTAAAAATACATAAAATGTCTAGTCAAAGAAAATTATTTAAACAGTGTGTTAAATACCCTTACAGGTACCTGTCTGAACCTATTTTTGAATATTCTCCAATTTAATGCCAAATTTTAATTTCATATAACCCCGGAGTTAGAAAGTATACAATCTACAGTTTTATGTATGTAATTGAAATCTTGTTTTTCCCATATGTTTCTTTGAATTGAGTTTTACTGTGATATTCAAAAGATTTTACTTCTATGTCAAGGAAACTTAAATGGCCAATGGTGTAAGATTTGAAATACAAATGCATTTGCCTGTTGACTAGTGATGGGGAAGCCCCTTAAAGAGAAGCCGCAGTCCTGTCACATGCTTAAGTGTGATCATTTTTCTGTCTTCTCTTGTAGACCAAGCTGCTGGAACTCCATTTTCAAGATGAAGTTTTCATTGGCAATCTCCTTTTTTATTTTCATGTCCTTGTGGGTTGAAGAGGCTTGTTCTAAAGAAAAATCTTCCAAGAAAGGGAAGGGAAAAAAGAAGCAGTATCTGTGCCCATCGTACGTTCTTCACATCTTCATCTTATATCCTTCTGCAGAGCCAGGCTGCTTTTCATTAGAAAGCTAGACTGGCTACTAAAGTGCCCATCTTTTTACACCTAGTCACACAGCATTGTGTCCTGCTAGCAAAATGGCAGGGTAGACAGAGGTTTGGAATGTTATGGCAATTTCTTCCTGGTAGGGAAGGAGGCTTTGTTTATATACTATTACATACTGTTTACAAAAGTGAAACAAGTTGTTATAGCTTTCTGAGGCCAGATATGAAACTTTAATTGCATGTGAAGAGTCCATGTTTTAAGAAAACACTAGTTCAAAATGTAGATTTAAAAATATTCTGAAATGAAAACTCATTAAGCACCAGATACACTATGATCTTGAGGTCTGTTACATTTGTACGGTTACACCACAATGGAAGTAAATTTTCATGGTAGATAACATTTCTTTTCAGTATTTGTTTATAAAGGACTTAAAAGGAATGTAGCATATCCTTCCAAAGTGTGTGATAAAATAGAGAATTACTTGTAAAAACAAAATCCAGCTACATTCTCTCCAAAGTCAAGGTTTATCAGGTTAGGATCTTTTCTGGGAAGTATTAATATTACTGGTCAGTAAAAGATGGAAATATCCAACAGGTGAACACTATATAATGATTTTCATATATTAGAATGCATTTCTAGGTATTAATGCAACACATGTGGTTGTTTTGCTGTTATGGGTCACTTTCAGTTGATTGTTGAGATGTCATGCTGACCACAGACAGCATTTCATTCCAGCGCCATGACTTGCATGTGAACCATGTTTTATAGATGTCTGTAAGAAACTCAGAGTGTCTTTTAGGAAGAAAAATTTCGTAAATCAAGGATTTTAGATTTGATATATTGCAGCTGATACTTGTACAGATGTGAAAGACTGAAAGTCTGAAGTCAATGTCATGGAGAAAATGTCTAACATTAAGTTTCATGTCATAACAAGAGGCATCTCCTAATTTTACCATTGACATCTTACCTATTTAACAGTATTATGTCAGGGTCAAATTATGGGGTGTCCTATAGGGTAACCTTGAATTATATACATGCTTCTCTTTGGCCTCTGTATCTTTGGGAATCTGCTGAATGATAAAGGGGCAAGCTTAGGCCTATGGACCACTTGGTGAAATCAGGATTCCTCAGTTGTATCTTAATCAGGAAATTAGCCTTGGAGGGAGCTAGATCATGTTGGGACTTGTTCTTCCTATGTGAAAGACTAATTTCCAAATTCTAAATATTCTATGTAGATATAAGCTGGTATATGCCTGAAGTCATGGTAGCTGTGTGTAGTGGGGGTGGGAGGTCAGGCTATCGTGGACCATTCATGTTTTTTTCTGAGGAAGTGATGTGCTTTAGGTACCTACCTCCACATCAAGATCCTGCCATATTTCCTGCAAAAGTCAAACTGTTTAAAGTTCACAACAGTAAGTTCTGTTGCCACCATTTACCTTCGGTAGTATTTAGAGGACACATGTTCTTTTTTTTTTCACAACTACAATATTAAATTGCCCAACATACGTAGTCAATATATAAGGTGTCTATAGTTATTTAAGACAAATTGTTTTAGTTAGGCAAGACAGTAAAGTTTCTCTTGAAGAATGTGGATATTATCAGGCTTCAGAAGGTGCTATCTATGCCTGTTGAGTCCTTGTCACAATACTTCATGTGCCAGTGGAAAGTTGATCTTAGTTAATTTCTACCATAGCCTTAAATTTATTTTATTTTTATAATTTTGAGACTAAGTAACACTTTTCTGATGGTTGTACTAATCCAGTGAAACATCTAGCTCCTCAGTGTGTAAGTAGGGCAGAGATGATGACTCAGCAGGCAAAGGTGTGTTCATAAGGACCCGAGTTTGCTCTCTGAAACCCATGTGGTGGAAGGGAGAGAACCAATTTCCAAAGGTGTACCTTGACATACACATGTATGCTGTGACACACACACATACACACATGGTCATTAAAATAAATAAATAAATAAATAATTTGTTACAAGTAAATGTGCCCTGGTGAATTACAGTTGTATATTTTTGGAGTTGAATATTTTTCTTATAAATAAGTATCTTCTGGTAAAAGAATACAATTCTATAATCCCAGAAATTGACAGGAGAGTTGATAGTTCAAAGCCATCCTTTTTTACACAATGAGACCTAGCTTATAAAAACAAAACTAAAGTAAAATAAATAGAAAATCTGACTTAAAAACAAGAACTTAAAACAGCACAGGATGGAACCAGGCCCCCTGAACATGGGTGACAGTTAGGGGGCTTGGACAGTCTATGGAGTCCCTGGTAATGGAAAAGCATTTATACCTAATGTATGAATGGACATTGGGAGCACACTCCCCATAGAGGTATACTCCCTCAGCCTAGACACAAGGGAGAAGGTCTACGCCCTGCCCCAAATGATGTGACAGACTTTGATGATCCCACATAGAAGACCTCACCCTTTCTATGGAGCAGAAGAGGGGGGATAGGGGGGATCAGTGGGGAGCATGGGAAAATGGGAGGGAGAGGGAATTGAGATTAATATATAAAATATGATTGTTTCTAATTTAAATTTTTTTAAAAAGCTTTTTTAAAAAAAGAAAGTCAAATGTCATTTCCCTGTCTAGAAATTGTTCCATAATATGAAAGTTTTCTAAAATCTTGGGCTAGAATCTCAGCACCATAAAATAACAGTATTCAGTTATTTGTAGTTTAGAAATCTAAGCTGTTTATTTATTTTGTGTAAATTTGTTAGGTGTCTTGCTTAGCAGAGTTAGAGTAAGAAATCTTAGAAGTTGAAGATAGAAAATGAATATCTTGAGATTCTTGCCTGGTGAACTTTGGTTTATTTAAAAACGTTTAAGAGTGGCATTGATCAGCAATAGGAACATATATTCATAGCTAGCATGTTTGTAGTGAACAAGTGTTAAATATTTCTGCTTTTCCATTTGAACAATAGTTTTTCCCAGTGAGAATCCCATTAGGAGAATACACATGTTATAATACAGGAGAGGTGCTGGAGAGATGTCTCAATGTGATTTTTCTCTTCTGCCTGTGAGATTTCATCTAAACCCAACGAGCTGAAGTCACTCACTGTTACTTCTCAGGTCTTTATTTCTAGTTCAGAGCTGTGAATACCCTCTACATCATTTTACAAAGCTCAGCTCAAGAGTCTAAAACTTGCACTCACAACTCCTCCACACCATCACTCCCAATATAGTGTCCCTTTGCCAGCAGATGACTTCAACACCTCTTTTTTCATTCTAGGGTATCTCTTGACCTACTGTTTCTATCTCAGCTTCTCAAAGTCAGCAGTCATGAAGACTCAGCAGCTCCACTTGTCTATGCATGGAGAATCTTCACTTTCACTCCTTTATAGACATGGTTTGAGTAATTTTCCCTACAATGTGTATGTTCTCCCCCCCCCCGGCCATTGCTGCTCCACACTGACTCTAGAGTTTTTTGTTTGTTTGTTTTGTTTTGTTTTTTTCTTCCCCAGATCTTATGTCTAATTAGGTCATCCCAATACTGAGAAGTCTTGCAGGATCCTCATGGCTTTCTGGATATGGCTGGTATTTACACAGAAGACCATTATTGACTAGAGTCTGACATCTTCATCACTATCCTTCCTCTCCCTGAACCAAACAGTGTACATGGATCACCTGTAATTCACACCTGTTCTTTCCCATTGCTACCGGTGTGGTTCTCAATAGTTAAAGCACCAGAGCTCTCCCTGTGGTAGTTAAATTCTACCTTGCTGCTGCTGCTTCAGATTCATGGCAGTAAGCATCACTTATTCACTATTGATCCTCAGTCCGTCTGTCTAAATGCTTACAAATACTACTTCATATATCCTCTTCAGTCATTTTAAACTGACAGTTCCATAATGACATCAAACTCAACCCAAACCTAAAACTATAACCTCTATGGAGGAGGGTGTGTTTGTGCGCATGCTCATGATGTTGTGAAGTAAGCTAAGGGACTCATGTATGCTAGGCTGACACTGTGCTGTTGATAGGTATCCCATCATCTTTGCTCATTTGGACAATTTCGGTAATCACCTTCTCCATCTCCACAGCCCACTACTTGACTCCCATGTCCATGATTCTTCCTGGAGCTTATCCATTATATCTGTATGCTTCTTCAGTTCTTTGTAAACTTAGGAGAAAACAATGCCTCACTTGAACAACAGAATGCCTGGTGCAAAATATAGGTAAAGTGGAAATTCCTTTATTAAGTGTAGTGAGACCCAAATATCTTTGTCTGGTTCATATTAGCTCTGTTATGACTGGATTTTACATCATTTGATATGGTTTCAACATATGGACAACTGCATGTATTCACAATTATGTTAGTGAGTAGAACACATTCACCCTAGGTTATGTTTGAATATGGTACAATTTTGACTTCATGATACTCAACATTTTCCCAGTCATTAAAAAGAGACTTAAAGAAAAAAAGATATACAAACTAAGGTTTGTAACACTGGAAAATTTAATATGATATGGAATTGGTATCAAGTATAACCCTGAATTAAGGGACAAAGACTCAGAAAGAAGAGAATTGCATATTGAATACTACATACACAATCATGAATGGCAGGGTAAGTGAAGAGGGCCTATGTTGGAGGGGGATAGGAACCAGCAGTGGGAGGGTTGATAAGAACATGTACTGAGGTGAATATGAATAAAGCACAGTGTTAAACATATAAAACCTGTCATAATGAAACCCATTTATTTTTAATGATAACAACATCAAAATAAAAATAAAGCAATGGACAAAGCCTAATAAGATAAGGAAATGTGTTGCCCTCTGGTCCTCCTATTATTTGTGCTTGTATGGGTTAGAATATTTTGAAAATGTTTGATGATATCATCATCATGATACAAATGTAGATAGTGTTATACTTAACAGATATTTAAAGCAATGTTTACAGTCATTTCTACACTGTTCTACTTAATAGTTTCCAGGACAGAGAAAGGAGGTAGA